CCCAGGACCTAACAAAGCAAGAACCTCTTGCTGTTCTTAGGCAATTTAATGTGCATAAACATACCAGCAGATCTCAAGTCACAGGAATTCACCGCACACTTCAAAATGAGTTCAGAAGGTGCTGTGCTGTTTACTTTCAGTTTACCCCACAACTAAGCCAGCAACAAATCTCATCTCCCTTGACAGAAATTAAGCAATAGATTCCTCCTTACTTGCAGTTGGCATTCGCCCCGTTGTCGAGTAAGAACTTGACCATCTGCTGATGTCCAGCACTGGTACAGTGAAATAAGGCAGTCCAGCCATGAATATCTTTCATCTCCAGCTCTGCGCCTTGCTTCAAGAGAACAGAGAATGTTCTTTACTGCATCCCCTCTGCTGGGTCTCTTAGCCACTGCCCCTCTGTGCTGCGATACCAAGAGAGTTTAAATCCCTGTCAGGAAGCTGGACTCAACAGAACAAATAACACAGTGGTTGCAGCTGATGAAGAAGCCTACTCTGTGCATGTAAGCCACTAGCATGGCTTTACCTATTCCTTACAGAATACACACCTGGAGAAGGAAGTAAGCAACGCTTTCATTTCCACAGCTGGAGGCTAACATGAGCGGTGTCTGCCCCTCTGGGGTTGGGATGTTCACATTCACCCCTGCCTCCAGCAGCAGGTGCACAATGGTGTCATGGCCAATGTAGGAAGCATACATCAATGGAGTCCAGCCACCACAATTCTTCTTATTTAAATCCACATCTCCACTAAAAAAAAAAATAAATAAATCAGCTAAATTACTGGCCTGGAGCTTGCAGTAGGTGCCTGTAGTCTCTACTACCATCACTATATTGAAAAAAAGACTTTAAAATACATCATCCAGCACTGAAGGCTGCATGGGAATTCCTGCCAGCTCTGGAAGCTTCCATCAAATTACTGAGAGCTTTTAATCAGCAGCCTTGACCCCTCCACAACTTTGTGCCTAAGAACACATGCAGAGTTCCACAGGGTTGCCCCTGTGGCAAAGTAAGACCTGCATTGCTGAATTATAGAATGGCTTGGATTGAAAAGGACCACAGCGATCATCCAGTTCCAAACCCCTGATACGTGCAGGGGGGCAGACCAGGCTGCCCAGAGCCACATCCAGCCGGGCCTCGAATGCCTGCAGGGATGAGGTACCCACAGCCTCCTTGGGCAACCTGTGCCAGTGCATTAAAAAAACAAAACAAAACAAAAAAAAACAACAGAGAAAAACCTTAAGTCACTGAGAATAGCTGAGCTGTGCTCTCTCCAACACCTCCTTACCACTGAATACACTCCTGCACCACTTCATACTGGCCAATGGAAGAGGCTGTGTGCAAATCCAGGGGAACATCCAGCTCTTCCCCACACAGCATCTGACCCACGCCGTGCCACATGGACAGACTGCGGCTCAGCAGCTCCGACTCGCTGGCTTCATCGCTCAGCTCCGACATTCTGCCCTGAGTAAACAAAGCAAAGGAGACTTTCAGATGCTGACCTCTGCCTTCCACAGAATCCTGCATCGCCTCTCAGCTCTGCAGCTCTAAGGTGCCCCAGACTTGGAAGGTGAGGTCAGCTCAGAGGCACAGAGTTTCAAATTCCTACCTTTACTTCGATCCCCTCCTTACCCTGATGTGGTCTGAAGAATTAAGGCTTGTCAAGGAGTTTTGGGGGCAGTCCTGTCTTGCAGAAGTAGACTCTGCGATCTGAACACACTGGAAAAGAAAAACCAATAATACTAAAAACATCTTTCAAATCACATTCTAAGACTTCAGAAAGCCTGGCTTTATCTCCTCCATTTTAATCAGAATATGCCTAAGGCAGCTTTGGATAGTTACAAGAAGAGAAGGCATTAAACTCCTACTTAACTGTTGATGGCACGCTTAGTGCTGCACAAAAGAATGCAGTCCTTGGTCTGCATGTTTCATAATTCACAGAGAGAATTAAGAACCTGTGTCAGGAGAAGCACTAAAAACACCTGACCTGAAGCACAGCCTAATCTAAGATTTAGCCATTAATAACAACTGCCTGCTGCTCTCCAAGTTATTTACCACCACACCTGAACAGGTTGCACACTTCATTATGTCATCGGATCATAAGCAGATTGTTTCTGCTGTCCATCATTTCTGCAGCAGCCCAGTCCTGTCTGTGAATCCTGGAAACTGCTGCAGTGCTTTGAGCAGCAGTGCACCTGCCCCACTGCTATCTGAGCACATCCACATTCTGCAGACAGTAACTTAATTACAACCTAACAATTTCAGGACTGCCTGGAAGGTTTATTTTCCATCCACAGCCTTGGGGAACAATTCTTTATTAATCATTTTAACTGCTCACAGGAGAGCTTTCTTGTTTGGCACTTCAGAAAAAGCTCTTTGACACAAATGCATCCATCATCTGAGGTCTTCAGCCATGGTTTCAGGCTACATCTGCATCAACTCAAGGAGAAGTGCTGTCTCAACACCTCAGTCTTGCTGCCTCCAGTGCAGCACTTCTGGGGTTTGATGGATCCCACCACGTATTACATGGGGGTAACAAGCTAACAGAGACATTTTTCTTTCCTGATAACTTCTTGCCAGTTTAACTCCTCAGACCGATTCGTACAGGAGCTACACAAACATCACATTTGGCACCAATTAGAAACAAAGGAGAGACACCATAATTAGCTTTTCAGTAGCAGCTGCTCTTTCGATTGTCTCAGCTGCAACATTAGAAAGCAAACAGGATTTGAAAAGAATCAAGACTCTCCTGCAAGAACCAGCCCCTTTCCTGACACCACAAAAGTCCTTCAACTCCTACATCTCCACTTCCCATCTGATTTTTAACTCCCACACCTTGCTTCCTTACCCTCTCAACCCTTCATTAATTTCTTAGGGCCAAACAAGAACCACCCTCTCTTCCTGATCAGTATGCATCAGTAATAAATCATTCCCTCCTCAAGATTTCTTTGCACAAGCACCTGTTCCACCTAATGACAGCAATTCCTATATATCACACTGGTAGGGCATAAGTCTCACACAGGAATACACAGGGCTGAAGACAAAGGACTGAACATCTTGAACCTCCAAAACAAAACACAGAGGTATGAAGGGATACAAGTGGATTGTAAGCAGAAGTAGGATTGGTTCTCATCACAGCTGCCTAAGACTTCTGGTAGAAGGCAGAAAGGCATGTTCACAAGTGGTAAGAAGAGATAAATTCATGACAGTCTGTAAATACACGTTCAGATAAAAATAAAGCTTGCTGCTTTCCCTGCAGATTGCTTTTTAAATTGGTAAAGACCAAACATCAGTGCTTTTTACAGTTAACATATCCAGAACCTGCCTCGTGTCAGGTGCAAGTTACAAACACAACCTTGGCCAGCTGTCAAGGAGCAATGCTGACATGACAGAAAAGTTATGCTCAAAGCTCAACTCCAGAACATTCGAGACTCTCAAATTCATTCCTACTAACCCAACTCTGCTCGAAGTACTTACATTTTAGAGTTTAAAACAAATGAAGGTTTCACTCCACACTAACCTGAAGCATGATGTCAACTGAGCAGTCATCTGAGAGAACACAAAGAACTACTGAATGAAACCCTGAGAACAACAGAAGCAATCAGAAACTAAAGACTAGAAAGGAAAGACTGACTGAGGGTGTCTGGTCTAAAGAAAAGAAATCTAGGGATATGTTAAGAACTCTCAAGCACATAAATGGCTGCTGCAAAGAGAAAGAGGTCAGATGTAAGCTGCTTCTTGTGGCCACAATGGATAAGTCAAGATGTAATAGGCTTAAATGGTAGCATAGAAGACTTGGGCCAAAATGCATAGGAATTCCTACATAATTAAAAAGAGATTGTGACAATCAGAAAGGTCAATACAGTAGAGGATCAATAGAGGAAATAGAGGAGAGCAGTAGCAAAGGGACCAGCACAAACGGAATGGTGTTACAAAAGAAAAGAAGTGCTCACCCATCTCTGGAGATGCAGGCTTACAGGGAAAAGTCCACAACAGAGAGATCTCCAACCAGAGACCCTGCCCCAGTGGCAGTCTGCCCTTAAATGAAGTCTAAAAGAGGTGAACCCAGACTCCACTCCTTCCAGTCTCACAGCTAAATTGCCTCCACCTGTACTCCCAGGTCCTTTCCCCATGTGCTCAATGAGTGGTTCAGGCCATGACTCAGTTCCCATACACAGAAGTACTTGGATGGGTTACCACTAAAGATCTGACGGTTAAAAATAAGCTAGATGTCACATCCCACCTGCCACACTAGGTCAACACCTCAGGAACATTTACAGACAATTCTCACATTATGGCAAAGCAATTCACTTGACATCCATTGGAAGCCTTCCTCAGCCCCACGAGCCAGACTTCATATTTCAGTGCATCATCACTTATGGACTCACCAAGATCAGAACCCTGCTGCGCTGAACCTCAGAGCAGGCAGCCACCACACAGCCCTGTCCTCAGGGTGCAGACAAAACCAGAATGCAGGAAGAAAGAAAGAAACAATAAGAACTGTCATGAAGTCTGCAGTGATTAGCACCTTAGCATCCCTCTCGGAAGGATAACTCCAAGAAGCGACGTTAGAGAAAAGAGCTGGAAGAGCAGCATTAAAACCTCAGGGGCCCTTAGGCCCCAGGAGGGCAGGCCAGGCCTACACCCACCGCGGGTCGGCATGACAGGGCGAAACGCTCTGACCGCACTGCTGCGGGACCCACCGAGGCTCCGGGCGGCGCAGCGCCGGCCGAGCAGACCGCTGCAGACAGCCGGACCCCGCGCGGTGACACAACGCGCCACGCTCCTCACCTGCACGCCCGGTGGGCTCCACTACCGGAAACGCGCGCAAAGAATACTGGGAACTTCCGCCCCGCCGCCCGCTAGGTACTGTGTGTCCCAACTGGCGGAAGAGCTAAGCCCCGCCCCCCGCGGCAGCGGGCCAATAAGTGATGCCGCTCGCAAGGGGCGGGCTGTCGAACAGCCAATAGGATTCGAGCGCTGCGGTAGGGCGGGCGCTTGCAGTAGGCGTTCCGCTGCCCGGCGGTGGCTGAGGTAGGGGAAAGCAGCCCCAGCTGGGCGCGGAGCTGTGCTGTGCTGCCGCCGTGTGTTCTCCGTTTATCAGCTACTTTTCTTCACCTCGCCCCGCTGTAGGGGCCGGGACGTACGCTGCGCCGCTCAGAGGCGCCCAAGAGCCGCTGTGAGGGCAGGGGGGCCGGGCCGCGCTGCTCGTGTTGCTATGGCAACGCAGGCGCCGGCTGAAGTGCGCGTGCGCAGCGCTCGCCGCCATCTTGGCAGCTGTTGGTTCTGGGTGGTGTAACGCCCCGAAGCTGCCCGCCTTTCTTAGGAGCGGTACTGATGCGCGCCCAATTTTGATGACCTAGAAACCACACAACTGTGGCAACAAAATTTAAAAAGTGAAGCTTTTACGAGCGGGTTAATTTTCTGACTTGTTGGAACAGCAGTAGTGCCCTGTTGAGCTGTCCTGGTTGCTCTTACACACGAGAAGGAAACGTGAAGAGGGAGCTTAAATGTATTTTAAGAGGTCAAAATCTAATAGATCCTCTGGTCTCAACTGTGTTGATACAAATGCAGTGAAAAAAGCCAGCATAAACCACATTATCTATCATTTGACTGTGAGGATGGGAATGTGAGAAACGGGGAAGTAAGGAACAGCTGAGGGTGGGCAGTCCTCCCTTCCAGGGCAGCTGTGAGAATGGCCTTCCCAAAGGAATCGCAGTCCTACCATGGGAGCACTGAGGGTTATGTTGACCCTGAGTGCACACGCTTTATTCTTGCTCTGTACTGATGTTATCCTTTTCTCTCTTGAGGTGTGCTTTCATTTGGTGGAAGGTTGGATGTTTAAATGGCCTCAGAAGGGCAAAGTGAGGATGCTGAGCGTCCATCTGAGCTTCCTACGGCTCCTATTGGGAGTAACAGCAGGTTTCGATGGGGAGATATACTTGCTGCAGTGAAAGATCAGCTCCCATCTCTGGACTCTGACACTTCTACAGTAAGCGGTGCAACCTGACTGTCTTTCTCACTGGCTTTTAGAAAAAAATCCCTGTTCATCGCATGGGAGTTGGATGAGATGGCCTTCAGAGGTCCATTCCAACTCCAAGGATTCTACAACTATGATTCTATGTACTTGTTTATTCTGACTGTTGTTGTGTGTATATTAATCCACAACCTTTTATTTTACCTCTAATAGTCAAAGCATAATGACCATCTTTTCTCACTGTATTCTTTGGAATTGAAGGTGGGACTGATTTTTCCAGGTGCTAAATAATGCCAGGTTAGGAAGAGATGGGTAGTTGGCATCTTGCAGAATGACCACACATTTTTTTCTTAGCTTGTTTGGTCAAAAATACAGCATGAAAAAAATCATACAGCTGACTTAAAATCAAATGCTAAGATTTTATCCTGGATAATATTGTGCTATTTAGGCTAGTAATGTGCTGTCCAGACAGTAGGCTGTTAGCATGGTTTTCTATAGTTGAGGGTTTCAGTTGTATTCCTGAAGTCTTCGTGGTCCACTGAAAAAGCATTTGGCAGATATTTGATCCATGGTTTCTACTTCTTTCCCTGCCTGTAGCCAACTGTTGATTTCTGTTCTTTAATTCCATCTGCAAAGAAATATAACGCTGTTAACCTTTTAATAGAAAGCATGAGATTTATAGAAACTGTGAGGCATTTTTCACCGTGCTGTTTTTTTACTTGCTGGGTCCTAATGGCTGGGACAGGCTGCCTGCTGACAGCTAAAGATCTCTGCTCACAGGACTCAACAATCTGGTGAAAATTCTATTTTAGTTACTTAAAGCAACCGTGGCTTTTTAATATGTGTTTATGCAGTATAGATTTAGGGCCAGCACTCAGGGATGATTTCTGGTCATTCTTGTTCTATAGGCGTACAAAAAAAGTTCTGACAAAGTGATCGTTTTGTATCTTTGTGCCAAATAATTTATAACTCTAAGTCATGTTGAATCCTTTTTTTTTCTTTTACTCATAAATAACATCCAAATTCTTCTGTCACATGTGGAACAAATTTCCTGCTGAAGGAACTGCAGCAGTCTGCTTGGCACTTACGTGCTACCTTTAATTTGCATTCAGAAGGTCTGCTTGTGTGATCCCTCTCCTGCTTACTGTACGACAGTAGCTTGCTGAGCCTGTGGCTTCAGAGCTGCACCTTTGTCCCAAAGGTTTCCACTTGTGGGAAGATGCATCTGAGATCTGCACCCCTATGGGCTGTGCTCCTACATTGAGAGGAGGTGCTGACAAACAGCACGTTTTGAAGTACTTTCATTGTCCTGAAATGCATTTTATTAAAAGGAAAGAAGTTGCACTGGAATTTCCTCCGAGTTAGGAAAAAATAATTATGCCAGAGGGAGTTCTCCAAAGTGTGAGCTATTGAAAATGCATACTTAGATAAGCCTGGAAGCTGGGTCCTGGCTTCTGAGAAGCTGCTTATTCTCTTTTTGTTGCCTGTGCAAAACAATTAATCTCAAACACCTGTCTTAGGTTCAGATAAGGGTTTTTTTTCCAAAACTTTTTAAATTCTGCCCAACCGAGTGCAGCAATTTCACATCTGATATGTTTTTGTTTGTTGGTTTTTTTTTTTAATTTGTTGGGTATAAACTACTGCTGTAGTTTGCTCAGATGTTGGGTCAGTGTAAAGCAGCCGGAGCGTTGGGCTATCGGGCTGCCTGATGAAGGTGTAACTGAAAAGAAAACTGGTTTCTGAACTTCAGTCAAGTGGTGACAACATGGAGTTTGTCACCACAAAATGGTGAAAGTCACATTACAGGTTTTCATTTAACTTCTCTTTTTTCTGTTATTGATAGTCTGACTGTGACAGTGATGAGGAGCTTTTCATCTTCCAGCGAGAGCAACCCAACTTAATTCCTGACCTGTCAGATGAGCTACTGGAATTTTCCCTGGAAGACTCAGACATGCAGGTTGTGACCTTTGTGTGCAGGCTGTATTGCTGTAAACCCACCCTTCCATCCGTTTCCAATACAAACAGCTACTTTTATCTGACCAGTTTGACTGAGTGCTGTGACAGAAGAGCATGGAGTCCAGTACTTTCTCCCATCAGAAGTTAGATCTTCTCCCTTTAGTGACCCTTTTAAGCTGTCGTTTTTTAGATCTTTTCTTCATGCTATCATCTCTTAGTTTTATTTTCCTTTTACATTTTTGAGACAATGACACTCCTTAGCTCCAACTGACACAGATGCCCTCTTTTATTAAAATGCTAACTAGCCTTTTCTTTGCTCATAGTCCTGTCTCTCAAGGAATTTTTCAGTTGCTTCTAAATCTAATAAATCTTGTTCTGAATATTGTACATAATAAAAAGGGGAAAGGTATCCCCCTTTTGTGTAATAACAAGTGCACACTGAGATACAAATCACCAATTTCTAGTCAGAAAGATCATACAAATACTTGTAGGCTGACAGTAACACCAAGTCCTGAAGGAAGATGCTGCTCACTGACTTTATGGACCTTTCTGTAATAAGCTCAGTACTGGAAAATTACCTGCAGCTCAGCTGCTGAGGAGTTCTACCCTCAGTTTGTGCATTCACAGAAGCACTGCCGTGGCTTCTAAGTTTCTGAGGGTTTGAAATAGTTTCAGCCATTACTTTATGTATGCAGAAAAAGAATTACTATGGCAGTATATTAATGAGGATCAGTATGAAGCTTATCTCTTGTACTGCTATTCTGAGATAAAATGTTTACATTACATCTGCAGTGATGAAGACTAGCCGTCATAAGAAGTTATAAGAGAAGCCAACTGAACCCATTTCATCATGGGAAGGCCAACTTACTGTGCTGCTTTTCCCCATTCATTAATCTCAGTGTAAGAAATGTTGTATGGTGAGCAGATAGAGGGCTAATAAATGTCAAGAATGTTTCTTAGCACATCCTAAAGCTGTAGTCTTTGCAAAGTGAGGTCTTACTGCTCTCTGTGGTGGATGTGGTTTGTGCTGTTACCAGATGGAGACTGAGCTAGAGCTGCTATCTGCCAATCATTTGTTTTGGTTTCCTGTCAGCTCCTATAGCCCAGGAGATGTAACTTTTTGCATGTATATATTTCCTTTGCTGGTAGAAAACACAGGAAAAGAAATGGAATGGAGATCTGAAGAGTCTTGGCCATCAAGAACAAACAGATGGTGCTCAAGTCATTTCAAAAGAATATGTTCAAGTGATTAAAGATGAGGCTTCCAATCTTTCCAGCCATACTGAAGAAATTCCAAGCCAAATGGAAGCTGTTCTTGAAGAGTCTCTTGCAGATTCCACAGATGGCCTTGAAGAGGAAGAACCAGGAAGGCAACAAGCCAGGGAAAAAGGGAACTTTTGCCTTAATACATCATTGTTATTGGAGGAAGTGTGCAGTAAAAAAGAGAGAAGAAAGCTGATAGAGACAAAGATACTCTCAAAAATATTTCTAGAGCCATCACCAGGCCACCCTGAGCTAAATAATAATCCTCCCTCACATGGCATGAGCAGAAGTCTGGAAAGAAGTGCTAAAGAAGAAACTTCTTCAGCTGGCCATCTTCAGGAACTAACCCATCTGTCACTGCAGGTAGGTGGCCCAAACACTTTCATGGAGTGCTGCTCATTCAGTAGAGAAGCTGCTGTATTGCTTCGAGAATCCTGCTAAAATAAGAAACCAAAATGCCAGACTCTGCACATGACAGCATTTTACTTTGTTGCTTTTGTTGATGTCCTGAATCTGGGTTTTCTTGGGTCACGTGCTGTGCAACCTACCGAGAAGCTGTCTTTGTCTCATGGGGATGCCACTGTGTGTCCATAATGGCAGCAGAAGTTGATGCTCAGTAGCATGGTTAGTGATCTTATTCACAAACACCAACCATGGCATCCGTCCCTAGGAAAGCAGGGATGTATTTTGTTAGTTAAAACAATGAGCTTTTTGGCCTTCCAGCATCTTGTCTCTTCTGTAGCACTATGGTAATCTCAATTCACTTGAATTATTCATTTCTTCCTTAATGTTTGTATTATATAATGAACTTATGTGTTGCTTGTGGAAATGCTAAGTCACAGCCTGAAGCAGTGATGGAGCACCTGGTGGGAAGGCAGGGCCAGCCCAGGGGAGCTCAGGGGCATGCAATGCACTGAGAAGGGCTGGAGCCAGGAACCTCCCCTTCCCAGCCCTCATTTAAGGGCTGGCAGTGGGGATGAGGGCACCTCCTGCTGGAAATCTCTGCCTACCTGAGGCCTTCCAAAGGCATGCAGCTCCTTTCATTCGTTTCTGTGTCTATGGCTGCTGCATTTGGGCTCCTCCTCATTTGCTGTAGCCAAGGACTTTGCCACTATTATCATCCCATTATAGTGTTACACTTCTGTATTTAGTGTGTTTATGTATGGCAGAATAGCCAAGCAGATTAGCACCAAGAGTTGAATTAAAGGAGCTTCTATTTTGTAGCAGCCTTTTGATGGTGATTTTTCCATCGCAGTCTGGTTGTCTTTCAGAATACCGAGAACTGGGATCTAGACAAGACTTCTGCAGAGCTGAAGCAGCAGAAAAATACACATAACACTCATGCAGAAATTGCCTTCTCCTCAACAGATTATGGTAATGCTGTTCAACTAATACCAACTACACTGAAAATATGTAAAAACAAGTAAAACTCAGTTTTGTATATTTCTCGTTCCCTGCTACGTCATCTTGGATGTGGAGGTGATAGTGGTGGTGGGGTTTTTTGACAATTTCTTTAGAACACAAAGCTTCCTCTGGGTCTTGCTTTTGTGGTTTGAAATCAGTGCTCTGTGGCCTGCAATGGCTCAGGGCAAGGCAGATAAAAGTTTGCAGTGTGTTTAGTCAGAGCTGGATGACAGTGGTGTCTTTATCCTTTCCCTTCTCTCTGGCTGTAGAGAAAGGTACAGTGGTGAAAGGGTATGTTGGGCAGTTCAATGGCAGAAGTCCACAAATGATTATTTTTTTTTGCTGTTCTCCTATAGAGACCTTCAGAGGTAGATCTGAAAAGCAGCTCATGGAAAAATTAGAAGAGCTGTGTGACAGGCAATCCAGGACACTGTCTTCACGCTGCAGGTGGCCATCAGCCAAAATCTCCATTCAGGAAGAGCAAGAGAACAAGAAGTAGGTCCTTCCCTCCAGTTGTCATATACAGTAGGTAGTCATTAGCAGTAAAAGCTCATGTTGTGGCTGGAATATGCTACAGCAGTGTTAAAGGAGGAAGCTAGGTCTTGGTCATTCACATATGCTTGATCATTAACAGTCAGTATCCTGCTACCTTAGCATTCTCCACCAAACGTGAGTTTTCTCTACATCTTAGCAGACACACTTGAGGAAATCAGGGGAGCAAAGCTGAGCAAATGGTCATGGCTGTGTTTTTTGTAGCTTTGATACTTCTAGGGTTTGAAGTTTCTTTTGCTGCTCCCAATCTAGCTGAAGTGTGAGATGCCTTTTTTCTCTTTTAAGGTATTCATTTAGATGTCAATGTGTTTTGCAGGGTTCTTTGTGAAGGAAAGTGGTTTCCAGACTGCTCAAAATCACTGGTAGTGGTACAGAGATGTATGGGACCTACTGAGTCAAAGCCTGAATTGCAGATTGAGCACCTGGGGAAAGGACCTGGTCAGCCCTGGGAGCACAGGTGGAGGCAATTCAGCTGTGTGAGGGGAAGGAGTGGAGCCTGGCTGCACCTCTTAGACCTCATTTAAGGGCTGACTGGCCCTGGGGAAGGATCTCTGGTTGGAGATCCTTTCCTTGTGGACTTTTCCCTGTGAGCCTAGATGTTCAGAGATGGGTGAGCACTCCTCCTGCCCTTAGTTATTACACTTCCTCTGTCACCATTCCACCGCGTTGATCCTTCTGATTGTTACGACAGGAAGTAACAGCGGAACAAGCCTATTAAGTGAAAGGTGAAAAGCATCCTTGCTGCCAGAGCAGGGGAAGCCATGAAGGTGATTTGCATTTTCTTTATGCTCTGAAGGATAAGATGGGATTGCCAAAGGAGGCAGAGAGGAAAAAGGGGCCCATTTTTGCTGATTTGTGCTGGGCTCTTTTCAGACTTATAAGTTCTTTGGTACTGTAACTGTCTGCCTTTGTTCTACAGAGTAGTTTTATGATGTTGGCTTTTAAGAACAAAATATCCCTCATCATGCTGCCAGTGATCTGTATTCCTAGGGGAGCCTGAATCTTACAGTTCAGTTCTGAAAGGTGATGGATAGTAGGCAGAATAAGAGACTGCAGTAGCTGAGCATTAAGCTCCTTTCACAATCCAATTTTTATTGTAATCCGTGCCCCGCAGGACATCTTGTGTTGATAAGGTGCAGGAAATGCTGAAACAGTGTTTTCTGTATTTAGGGATGTTGCCTTCCTCTCATCTTCACCAAGTTCTCTGAGGATGGACGCAGTGAGATTGCAGTGCCTGCCAGAGCCTCTAACTGTGTACATAGATTTAAGAGATGCTGAACCACAGAAGTTGGTAACGTTCCCTGATGAGAAACAGAGGTAAATTCTGGCTTTGTTAGTAGTGAGAAGTCAGCAGCAATCAGTGGGGAATTGAGATGCAGACAGAAGGCTTCATTCTTGTGAAATGTAACTTTAATTAAACTTCTATGACCTTAGTAGGAAAGCATAACCCATAGCAGAGCATGCAAGTACTCTGAAGAGAGGAATAACTTTTCTCAGAACAAGTAGGTGCAGGAAAGGAGACAAACACAGAAAAGACATGCAAACTGTCCATGGAATAACACTTAGAAAGTTTTCCATTCTCTGAAGAAGTGAGCAGTGACTGCAAGGCAATGCTTGCAGCTGTTGGTTGGAATTGAGCTTGCATTCTGACAGCTTTGATTATGGAATGGCTTTGCTTGACTATGTTCATGGTAAGCAGCTGTTGGTGCTGGTATCTCAGTCTCCCATGTGATAAGGAGGCCCTATATAGTCAGTTCTTGGAAACCAAATTCACCTCAATCTGCAACAGATTGTAGCAAAGCTGTCTCTTCTTAGAGGTGGAGGTGCCTGAGATAGCTCTGCTCCCTTTTCGGGACGCATGTTTATGAGCACCCTCTTTAATAAAGAGCAAAATGCAGCTAACAAATGACCTAGGGGTGCTTGAATATTTTTTTTTTCTGGGATAATAACATTAGAAACTATCAATAAGGCCTAGAGATCTGCCCAAAAAGTCTCTCCTCTTTTTCCTGATGGCCCTAAAACTTGAATCTTGGAAATGACCACAAGTCAATGCTCAGTTTGAACACTGTCCAGTTTATTTCATAGTGCAGGTGACAGCTCCACTGATGAAGATGAGACTGTGACTGTTATGGACCAAGAAGAGAGGAAAATGTAAGATTCTTTACCTTGACCATAATTCAAGTGATGTGATAATTAACTTCTTCTGAAATTAAAATTATTCCTTTAACAGTGATTAGAGTGAGAGCTCACACATGAAAGTATCTCTGTTTCTTGTATTTACATCAGAAGTGTCCAGCCTAATAACAGAAGTGTTTCAGCCTGGACCCAGAGTTCTTTTGCATGCTAAAAATACTGAAGTTAGACACCAACTGTCAGTGTTTGAGGCTGTGTGGCACCTTGCCTCTTTACAGCTGTGTGACAACACTTTAAAGAAAGTAGACATGAGTGGCTGGGAAACCTGGCTCTTTCTACAGGCAGGTTTGAGTGCTGTGAGAGCTGTTTTAAATTTCAAAAGACTCAAAACCCTACTTTCAAAATGCTGTAGGGAATTGACTCAGTCACACCTTTATTTTTAGAAATAATAAAGTAAGCTGGAATGTTGGTTTAAGCATTGAATACGTTGTGTGGGCAGGGATGCTCACAGCTCCCCTTAATTGTTCTTACATGCGTTCTTATGTATGGTTATGGTATCCTGCACTGTAGATTCTTCAATAGGCATAGATGCCGGGCCTTTCCTGTTACTAAATTCAGGCCTTGATTCATACTCATAGGTGGTTATTCATCCCTTTAACGTGAAGTAGGTATGTCGGATCTTAAGTGTCTGACTGCTTTTATCCTGTGTTATATTTAGAAGCCTGATGCATGGAAGTTCGCATTTCAGCAGTGCAGTGGGCAAAGAGGAACATTCTGTATTGTTTTGCCTTTGTTTTTAAGTAGTCTGAAAGAACAAATGATTCGACAAGGAACAAAGCCAGCTACTCAGCATAATTTGTAACATCTAATCCCAAACCAGCATAAAGCAGGGATGAGAGATTGCTTGGGGAACTCTCGCTGGCACTGACGCAAATGCAGGAGTTACATCAGTGTAAATCTGGAGTGATGGAGAGCAGAGCTTGGCTGAGTGCATTTTTATCTGTTTTAAAGTTGCTGAAGTAAATACACGTGAAACACGTGGCAAACATTCAGTTCTGTTTCTAAATAAGAAAGCCTCATCTCAGAAGGGTGAGATGCTAATCTCCTTAATGTGAGTTCGGTGCCATTTTCCATCTTACCTGGATGGAGCTATTAAACAGAGCTGCATGTTCTGTAGCACAGTGTGCCTCCATGTTAGGGCCTTAAGTAGAGAGTCTGATGATAGCTGGGCACTTCTTAGCATAGAAAACCACTGTTAATTTATCCCGAGTGGTCAGATGATCAGTGCCATCCCTAGCGCTATGCTGTAAGGCTGTTGTCCAATACATGCTTCCATCCTGAAATTCCTGCTTTATTTTCTGACTCTACTAAAGCAGGCAGGAGAGCACAAGGCAAATTTGGTTTTCTTACTAGAAACAAAGGTCAGTAACACTCAGGAACTTACAGATGTGTTGGTAGAATCCTTCTTTCTTTCTCACCTGCTCTGTTCTTGTCTGACTTACTCTGTGGTAGAGCTCGAAGGCCTGAGGTTGGTGTTAACCTGCAACTCTGTTTCAGGACATTCTTCTAGATTTAGGAAGGAGGAAAAAAAAAAAACAAACAGCAGGAAGTAATCACTAGCAGCCCACACCTGTGCAGATGAATTCCACTCACAGCTCAGGATCTGAGTTCTTTGTCTTGTAAATGCAGGGAATGTTGTACTACCCATAGAATGTCTGAGTTGGAAGGCAGGAATCGTCAAGTCCAAGTCTTGGCTTTGTACAGGACCACCCAAATATCAAACCATACTTCTGAGAATGTTGTCCAAACTATTGTGGTTTAACTTGGGAGGCAATTAAGCAAAGCCCCATACACTGTGCAAAACTTGAACTCCAGAAGACTTGATGCCATGACCAATTCTCTTCTACTGACCTTGGTATCCAGTGGGAAGGGGTTAATGTACCTGTATTGCTTAGGAATCTTTAATGCTCTTTAATGCTGCAGCTGTCAATGTTAAATGTTGATACAATGGCTGGAGAAATGAGTTTCTTAATGAGAAAAAGTGCTTTCTGGATTTTCTTTGTTCTTATCAGCTGCTACTTAGGAGTAGCTGCAAATTGGTGGCAGTTTTGTAGTAGATAACTTGGGAGCCTCGCTGCTGAACAGAGCTACAAGGCAGAAGAGCCCTATCTGCTTATCCTGTCATGATAGGGCACTTCACATGGGAGAACAATCACAGTATTGTACTACTAACAGCTCAACAGCCCCTTGGACTGGGAGGAGACACAGGTGAAATGAAGCTGAACACCTCAAAATGCAGTGAGTTATTAGATGGACTCTTCCTGTATGTCTGTTTGAGTTCCAATTCTCATATCCCAAGAGGACAGAAATTTGCAGACACTGATTTCCATGCTGACATGCCTTTTGTTCAGGGCTCTTATACTAATTCTCTACTGACTGTAATCCAGAGGAGGGAAACAAATTTCCAGTAAGATCAGATCATGTTCTGTCACTGTCTTGTTTGTTGTTTATGTGCTGGTACTGCTGTCGAAGACTGTTATCTGTGTTGATAACCCATCCTTGTTTTAATGAGAAATTCTTCAGTGTGGGCTTTTTTTAAAATGCTCTATGTTGATTAAATCTTTATTTTATTAGCAGGAAGAATTGGTCAGGGAAATGTCAGCTACTGCAACAACTCCGTAGAGCCCGTAAAGAGGCCTCAGAGGTTCTTCACAAAGAATCTGCCCCAGCTGGAAGACTCAAGGGCACAAAACAGGATCCAGAAAGTCCGGAAGAGATGGATGCCTTTAAAGTCAGTCAAAATCAAAATTTTAAAGTGAGAGAAGGGATGAATGAGGTCATTACCAGGAAACTGGTGAGGCTGGAGCCAGAGAAAAGAAATTCTTCCTCGTCAAGCCAGAGAGACAATGGAACTGATATAGGAACAAAAAATATAATGAAAGCTGAGAAGGTTCAACATTTAGGAAATGCTTCAGAATCTTCTCTACCTACAAAAGAATTTCCAAGGTATCACACAAGAAAAGTCACCAGTGATTTTCATTATGGCTTATCAAATTGTGTGAGATTAAAGAACACTACTTGCATGGGATGCGAGTTGGAGCGAAAGGTTGTCAGGTTTTCTTACCTAGGAAGTCAGCCATGTCTGGCAGCTGTTGTAGAACATTGTGGATGCAGACAGACTTAGTAGATCAGAGAATTGGACTGAGATTAGACCTAGTAAGTTTGACTACTTCCTCTAGGTTTTGAACCTAGATAAAAGGAGGATAACAGCATTGATCTGCATTGTTAAGGGTAAAACAGATTTACCATAAAAAGTATCATAGGAAATCGATCTGGAGTTGTCTATTCCTCTGCATCAGTGTAAGCTGAGCTACAATCTAATCCTTTCTTCCTGATCTTTATGCAACCTAATCTCAAAATCTTCAGTGGTGAGGATTCCCTGACTCCCCAGGTAGTACATTTCACTGCTTGATTATTCTTACAGTTTGAAAGCTAGCAGTTCATCCAATTTAAATTATCCTAGCTCCAATTTAGCTTTATTACTTCTTGCATTCCTGATAACATGGAAAATGACTTATTCCCTTTCTTGGCATAAAAAATGCCTGTACAAACTGGAAGTTGTATAGTGTCTCCCTGTATCTTCGTTTCCCCCGAACAAAGCAATTCTAACTGTCATGGAGGAAAGAAGGGAAAGAACTCAGAGAGCAAAGTGTAACCACGAGGAGCTGGTTGTACCACAGGAACACTCCAGAAAGCTAAAAAGGAGAAACAGTAACAATTGAGGCAATCAGAGAGCTTGCTCCAGTTACTCCTCATGCTCAGTGAAGTGCATTCAGCCTGAAGTCTCATTTCAAACCAAGATCAGGTGGCCGACTTGTGTACCTGCCCATCTATTTGGGAGATCTCCTTTATGCTGAGTTATATTCTGTCCACTGTTTTCAGCATGACACTTAATATTTTGATATGGCTCACAAGCCCTTGGAAAAAGATCATAATCTGCCTGCTCCAGAGCCTTACTTTTTCAGTGTTTAACAGTTGCCTACCTACCACTGAAACACTACAGCTAACATGTACTTGGTTTAAATGGCACGTGGTTCACTGTGGGTTGTTTTGTCAAGTGATTCCTGATATTAAAGCTCAATGCTGCTATCAGTTCTGTAAAATACCATTTTGTCTGCCTGTTAGCCTGCCACATAGATGTGGCTTGGCAAGCTGTTGCTGAGTAAAACATCAGGATGGTTTTAGCAAATTTCAGTTTTCTTTCTTATAATCATTGGGTACCTGAGGCTTGCAAGCTTGTGAAGAAATTGAACTTAGTGTTTGCTGAGGAAATGGCAGATGAAATCTTGCTGCAGACATCAAAATACAGAAAGGCAGGTCTTGCTTCGGGGAAAACTTGTCGCTGTTTAGCACATAGAAAGGGAAACAGAGTTAGAAAACTATTTTGGTGAGGGGAAGGGGAGTGAAATCTTGAACAAGCCTCTGCTAACTGGCATGTTTTGGTATCCAGCCAGTTGTCACCACTTATCAGAGGTTTGAGGTCTGCTCTTTTCCTTTGCTATTTTTACAGACAGTTTAAGCGATGACAATTTCTTGTGGTCCTCTACCTCCAACACCATAAGTGCTTTTTAAGACTATTCTAGCCTTTCAAATCATGATTCACCCTCAAGTGTATGGTATAAATATAAGGGAAAAAAATGTAAACGGGAGAACAAGGGTGTCTTTCTCCCAAGTAAAAAGTTAAAGCAAAGAAGTATCTGTATATTTTTCAGGACAGAAGACAGTAACAGAGAGCTATCCCAAAAGGAAGAACAGATGAAAGAGAAACATGTGAGATGCAGATTCCAGGAGCAGCTGGAGAGATGGCAGCCTCAGTCAGTTTCTGGAAAGCAGCCCATGGCAGAGAAAGCACCTGTTCTGTTCCACATGGTTAGTAGTTCAGCATAGGCCTGTCCCTTTCAGAGTGACTTCCTGGCCAAATCAGATGTGGTCCTAGAAGCAAGAAGTCACTGTTGTTGCACTATTTAAAATCTGTGGGATGTTGTTTTGTTTTTTGTGGAGCAGCATTATCTGGATGGACAAGCAGTCCTACAGCTCTTCTCTCATGTTAGTGACATTTCTTTCATCTCTCCTGTATGAAGTGTGCTCCTTGCATAGCTGCCCACCAGGCTTGGTGTATGAGGGCATGGCAGGAGTCCTGGCTTGCTGAAGTCACCAGGCTCAGGGACATTTCCTTCACTGGAGCCAGACTTTCACACATGATCTTTCATAACTTTTTAGAAAAATATGTTTTCACTGTTGTACTTCTGAAACAAAGCCTATGCTGGGTCCTGTCTAGCAGCTTTGTACTTCTCTTCTGTGGGCATTTTTAAATAAACTCTCATTGAGGATTGTGATTTAAATAATAAATCTGGCTTTTGGCTGGAGCCCTGATTAGGGGAACATGAAATTATCCTGTTTTTTTCCTAAAACGTGGCTCTGGGAACAGAGCAGGGTTCCTTCAGAGAAGGTTTGTATGTGTAATCCTACTTCATCCTTGCACTGATTACAGTGAGCAGAGAATGTAAGAGAAGATAGGCTGCGCAGTTTGTCCGCAGGTGCACCCTAAGGACTTATCTGGACCAACAGCACTGATACAGTGTGACCTAAGCTCAGGGCTGGACTATTCAGCTGTGCTTGGTTTTTAGTGAATTGAATGCTTCATTTCTGCAGATTAAGAGCTCACTTTTTATGTTGGATTAGTTGCTGTCAAGAAGTACAGGACCAACAAAGTAGCAGGTGAATTCCTCCTGTATCGAGCTGCTCTGGAATGGACAGTGCACTGCACAGGGCTCTGTTCTCTTAACACCTTCAGTCCCTGTTCTGAAGGTTGCAGAGGTTGTGAACCCAGCCCTCAGAGTTGCATCTTTCTCAGTCTGCTGGGAGGTGCTTCCAGATTCCAGTTAGCCCTCATTAAGATGCAGGCACTTTCTCATCAGAGATGTACTTGAGCTTTGCTAACTCATTCCTTGCAGCGCACCGAGCGATTACGGGATTGTTCTGCATCTTGATCGTTTCCCATATTTGCTGCACTGACGCCAATGAAATGAAGATAAAGACCTGGTACTGCGGCTTCTCTCGAGTGCAGCTCAGGGTGCACCTGCCCTGTAGTCTCCCTGTGAATGAATCACAGTGCAGATGTACCCCTCATAGCTTTAACCACATTACTGCCAGTCGGTCAAGGCAGCATCATAAGCTAATTGGTGTGGCCCAACTGCTGGCTGGTCCCTACAGCAATGGTCAGAGCGCGTGGAGGAAACGTGCCCAAACCTACGAGGCACTGTTGATGGATACAAAAGCAGTGCAACCCATCATTTTTACTGCAGCTATTTTTTACTGTGTCTTTGCTCTTATTTCTTCTTCAGCAATATTCATTATTAAAATTAAGAATGAAAAATGGATCAGCATCATCCATCAAATGCGAATCATTTATAAGATTACTTGAAATTTGTCTTGACAGCAGCCTTTTTTATCTTTGAGTTAGAACAGGTTTCTCTGTTTTTGTTTTTTTTTCCTCAGCTGTACACAGAAAGGCAGAAAAACTTGAATGTTTTGACACTTAAAACTAAAGAAGCTGTAATTTGGCAGCTGCTTCTCTCAGTGAAAATATCTAATATCTATATATAAACATGTATACCCAAAGAAGAAGCAAAAATGTTTGACAAAGTAGCATGCTTTGAAACTTGTTTTCAAAGTCCTTTGTTTTGGCAATGATAGATGTTCAGATCTGGAACACTTGTTATAGTTTCCAGAATTCCTCTGACCATTTTTAATGTACATAAATAATTGAATAATAATCAGAGAGGAAGTTTAGAAAGTCTGTAATTACTGGAGCTGAGGCACTCGGAAAGAAATGTGAAAAAATACAGAATAAAAGCTGCATTATAGTTACATTAGAGTTCTTGTCTAAAATGTAAAAGCAGTGAAATTCAGATTTAATATTGCTGGTTTTTAACCTAGTTCAGTCAGGCTCTGCAGTCCTCTGCACTCTGTAGGATGCACTAATATAAGCAAGGATCGGGTTTGCAAAGAACACTTTCAAAGCTGCACGGGTGACTTGAGATAGCAAGAGTCAACTTTCAGGGTCTTTCAGCATCTAAAGAGGGGGCTGATATGCAGTGGCATTTTTGCATTTTCAAGACAAGCAAGTATCCAGTTCCCATGAAAATTGGCAGTTTCATTCTCCGAATTCTACCTGTCATTCAGATACCAAGAAATGCAGACTGCTCATGCAATCTGACCCAAATCTTATTTTCAAAAATGCATGGTGGAGTCTAATTTATTTATTTGCTTATTCTGCCCTCACCACAACTTTCACTGAAACTTAAGGCTGACATAAGTAGCTTTCTTCTGAAAACAGACCCTTAGCCACATTTTAACCTTTAGATCCAGTTCAGAGCTGATTTGAGCATCTGCTGTTTTGCTGAAAGCCAGCACTGACGTAATCTGTGCTGTAAGGTCAGGTTGAATTAATAGCTTAAAGTAACATGAAGGTTTTGGTCAAGTGTTTGAGCTGAGTGTTATTTACAAGGGAGATAGAGAAGGAATGTTGTGCAGCGTGTGAAGCAGTTACGTGGAAGGTGTAAAGAGAAAATGGGTGTAGTGGAGATGTTAAGTCAAGACTTAAAGCAGTGATTGAGCACCTGGGGGGGAGGCAGGGCCAACCCAGGGGAGCTCAGGTGCATGCAGTGTATTGAGTGACTGGAAGGGCTGAGGCCAGGATCCACCCCTTTCCAGCCCTCATTTAGGATTGGCAGTGGAGGTGAGGGTATTTGCTGGAGATCCCTGCCTACCTGAGGTTTTCCAAGGGTAAGCTGACTGTTTCCTTTGTGTCTGTGCCCACAGCTGCTGCACTTGGGCTTATCCTCATTTGCTGCAGCCAAAGATTTTGTTACCCTGCTATTATTGCTGTTCTTTCCATTGTGTTATAGTGTTACAATGGATTTGGCCTCTCATTTAATGGATCTTGTCTATTATGATAGAGTAGCTTAGCACTGATGTTGATTTCCATATTATATTGACACGTTGGTAGGATGCAAGTAATAATAGTTGCTTTTACCTGGCTCAAATCTGATCTATCTATTTATTTTATTGTTAGGGAGCAACACAAGCAGGTTGCTCTGTAAGGGAAAGAGCACCAGGAGCTAAAGGTGACAGCGAGGCAGGTAGGGATGGGGACCTTGCTATCAAGGAGTGCAGTGCCCAGAGGAGCAGATCAGGTCCAGTGAGGGTAACCAGCTGCTTACTCTGCAATGATGAGGCAGGTCCAAGAGCAAGGCAGCAAAGCCGGATTGGTGAATTAGGGGCAGAGTTAGATGAGTGAAGCATATGGCCAGGCACAGGTGTACCTGCAGTGTAGCTGGGTCAAGGACAAGTAAGTGTCTCAGCTTAAACACAGCTCAAAAGCAAAGAGAGAGTGGCCCAGCGGAGGCTTCATGCAGGTTTTGTTTCTTGCAGCAGCAGCAGCATCAGAAGTTACTCAGCTGTGCTGTGTCAGAACTGGCCTTGAACACAGGCAGCTGAACTGCTGCAGAGGGTGATGCTCATGGCCCTGCTGCTTCTTATCCATCTTTAGATTTAATTTACCACACAAATGTCAGTCAGTTTTTCTTAAATTCTTACATTACTGGGACAAAAGGCTGTTTTACAGTAGGGCTACAGTTTGATTCTCTGTTTACCTTTTTTGCTTTACCGTGATATGGCAGAACAAGATCATGTAGTTCCAAAGCTATTAGGAACCACCTTGTTACCAGTACCTTATAAACACTGTTTTATCTACCTCATACAGTCAAACTATTTAGAAAATGAATGCATTGACTCATACTGAGGCATCTAATTTTTCTTGGCTACACAATCACTTTGGCTAACCTTGTGTTAGTAATTATATTACTGTAATCATCATCTTATTGCAGCTTAGCCTTACAGCTGGCTTACTAAACAAAAACATTCGAGCATGCAGCAATCATTCTAGCTTAACAAATACATTATGCAGACACTGTCTTTTCCAAATTGCAAACGTAGACTCTATAACCTTTCTCAAAATTGGCAGGATTGTGTTTTTTATATTAATATATCTTTGATTCAGCTCCTTGATGTCAGGTAAAATTCTTAGACTTAAACTTAAATCGTATTTCGGTTAAGTGATCTTGGTGCAGTAACTGAGGTTTTTCTATATCTGTATTCCTTGAATCCTGATCTTGTAACTTTAAATCACCTTGGGACCAATTGACACTGAACTAAAGCAGTCACTACACTTATACCTGGGTGAAGGCAACTGAACTGACCATTTAGCCCTTCTTATTTTACCATAGACTTAAAAAAAAAAAAAAAAAAAAAAAAACAGCTGTAAAAATTAGAGTATTTCCTACGCTACATCTTTTTCTGGCATGGGAGCTGAGTTTGGCTTGTTTTTCCCATCTTCTCAGCCTTGGTCTGACTCTGGGGTTGTGGCCAGCAGTGATGTGCCAGGCAGCCAGCAGATGGCCCCTGCATTCCTCCCTTTTCATACAGTGAGGTATTTAATGAGTTCCTGGAGCAAGACTGAAGTCTTTTCTACTTAATGAACCTGCTGTCTCAACTCAAGAAAGGCGTAAAAATAAACTAAAGCAATTAGAGATGATGTAGTTATATTTAGCTTGCAGAAGAAGGAGGCCAAAATTCCTGTTTGTGCCACCAGTCCAGCACACAGGATTTGGAATCATGTGGAAGTTCCTAAGAAAATGTTTTTCTAGCACAGGCAACTGTTACCTGGCACTGCGCCTGTGTTTCTGGCCTCCTCTTCATCTGCCCACATAGTGCCAGAGTAAGAAAAGGGAGGATTTGCTGGCATGCTTTCTGGTAAGGTTAAGCTCAGCTGGTTTATGCTCTCCTTGGTTGTAGTTAGCAAGCTA